CATTTGACTGCTAACCAGAAGGCTGGCATTTCAAACTCACCAGCCACTCCTTGGAAAGAAGATTGGGCAATCTACTTCCTTAGTGACACTACCTCAGAAACCCAAGGAGGGGTCGCTATGAGTCAGATCCAACTCAACGACAGTGAGTTTGTCTTTTTGGTTTTTATTGAAGCATAATTTGCATTCTATAAAATTCACCTAGGGGTCGCTATGAGTCAGATCCGACTCAATGACAGTGAGTTTGTTTTTTTGGTTTTTATTGAAGCATAATTTACATGCTATAAAATTCACCTATTTTAAGTTTGATGGGTGTTAGTAAATATAAATACAACTATGTAACCATCTCTACAGTCCTGTTTTATAACACTTTGATCAGGATAGATTTTTTGTATTGTGGTAACATGTGTATATATAACAGAACATCTGTCAGTTTGACAGTTTTTACGTGTATAGTTCAGTGACATTGATTGTGTTCGTCATGTTGTATAACCATTACCACTATCTTTTCCCAAATTGAATCAGGATAGATTTTTAAGCTGGTTTCTAAATTCAAGAGGTTTTTTCTCAACTGATCACACATGTATTTTTTTCTAATTAACTTTATTTTAATTTTTTTTTCTTTTTTTAAATTTTATTTTTGGTGAAATCATGCACAGCAAAACCTGCTCCCATTCCACAGTTTCTAAAATGATTAGTGACATTGGTTGCATTCTTCACATCGTGTCTTCATTCTTATTTCTATTCTAGTTGTTTCACTTCCGTTTACTTACTATCCCTGTCCCCTAACCTCATTTATGCTTTAAAATAGATGCTGACACTTTGGTCTTATACAGGTTTTTTTTTTTTTTAAAAGAAACACAACACTCAAGAGTAATAGCCTTTAGTCTTTGGGCTAAATAAACTGTTACTTAGTTTAAAGGTGAATTCAAGGGAAAGTTTCAATTGCAGGTTTCAAAAGCAACTCAGGGCCATAGTCTTGAGGACTCCCCCAATTTCAATAGGTCCAGTAAGTACAGACTCTGTAAGAATTTGAAGTTCTGTTCCTTATTTTTCTCAGGATACATCTATTGTGTTCCCAATCAGAACATTCAGTAGTGGTAACCAGGTTTATTTGAATTATTAATGTTTCCTTCCATGGTAGTAATTTATGTGGAAAACACACTAGGTTTTTGGATAAGACACATAGCCTAAATCATGACACCAAGTGGTATGGTCAGTGGAAAAGATAGTTTATAATAGTCTGTGATATATAGAATCACATAGAAAACCGTATGTTAAAATCACTAGAAAAAGAAAGGGTCATTTAGTAAATGATACTGGCTCTCTTAAGCATTTGGAAAATAAAAAATGATAGATCACTACCTGTGGTGTTCACTAAAATAAGTTACTTAAAAAAAACTAGAAAAAATATATGCAAGAAAATGTTTCTAGATGCAGAAAGACTTTCCCAGTATTAAAATAATAAAATACAAAGAAATACGCTGTTTGATTATATAAAAATTTAAAAAGTGACAATATAAGAGGGAAAATAAGCTGGGAAAAATACTTACAACAAACAGAAATGAGAAGTGAGCGTTAATGTATACTCTGCAAATCCAAAAAAACCATCAAGTTGATTCTGACCCATAACGACCGACCCTCTATGAAAAGTAGAACTGCCTCCAGAGGGTATCCAAGGCTGTAATCTTTATGGAAGCAGACTGCTGCCTCTTTCTCCTGTGGGGAGGCTGGTGCGTTTGAACCATTGACCTTTCAGTTAGCAACCAAGCACTTAACCATTGTGCAACCAAATCTCCTTTTACTATGTGAATTCTACATTCAAATTCAGAAATTAAAACATCAAAATGCAATAGATAAGCATATAAATAGAAAATTCAAAAAAGAGGAAACACAACTTGCTATCAGTATCTGAGAAAAAAAAAACCATTTAACTTGTGATCAAAGAAATTAAAACTTAAAACAGCATTATTTTGACTATCAAACTATCAGAGAAGTATACTTTTAGAAACTCCAGTAATCTGAAATAACAAGATACTTTCACACTACTGCTAAATATAAATTGTAATGACCTTACATGAAAATAATTTGCAGGGTACCAAGAGTTCTAAAAATGTTCATAGCATTTTATCAATAATTCTACTTCATGGAATATGTAGAGTTTAAGCTAAACTTTCCAGCAAGTAGGATGTAAAATTTCTTCTTTGAGTTGGTCAGCAAAGGATTTAACGCCTTTAGTGGATATTAGCCAATTTAGATTGAACAAGTTATAAAGTTTTCTTAATTAAATTCTCTTTTGAGGAATTTGAGTTTAAAGTGTCATTTCCTTTATAGATTACAAGAATTGTAGAAATATGTTAATAAATCACCTTCTCTGAACGTATTTATAGCGAACCTATAGGAAAGAGTAGAACTGCCCCATAGAGTTTCTAAGGCTGATTATTATTATTACTAGATCATAATTATTAATATTTCAAGAAGGTAAAAAATAACCAGTTGCTGTCAAGTCAACTCTGACTTCACATGTGTGTCAGAGTAGAACTGTGCTCCATAGGGTTTTCAGTGTCTGATTTTTTGCATGTAGATTGCCAGGTCTTTCTTCTGAGGTACCTTTGGGTTGACTGGAACTTCCAATGTTTTGGTGAGCAACCAAGTGCATTAAATGTTTTTCACCAGTCAGGGACTCCTTCAGGAAGATACTGTATTCAGAATCTAAGCTTCTTTTGAGGGTAAACTTTAGCTAAATGTCTTTGCTTAAAATACTGTATTTGTTTGTTTGTTTTAGATGTAGTAGAGACCTTGTAAGAAATACCAAAGAACTTCTAAATATTTAGAACAATAAGAAACAGAAATTTGATGAAAAGAAAACATTGTTTCTTGAATTTAATTCTCTCCCAAGCACATGTTTCTAATAAAAAAAAAATAAGGTCTCAAATATTTTTTATCAATATGTAACTTTCAGAACAATTCATTTCATATTATGCAAAATCTTATTATAGACTATTGTATTTGGGACTTTTAAAATTCTATTCCTATTAATTGTAATTTTCCTTTTCCCTTTATAGATCACCATTTGCTGCTGTGACAGACTATTCAGTTACAAGAAATAATGTCATACAACTCTGCTTGGAATTAACAACAATTGTGCAACAGGTATTAGCTCACAAACTTTCTTTCTACTATTGTGTTAATGTGTAGTTTCCTTCAGTTAATGTACTTGATATTCCAACAATGAGAAGTATTCCTTTTTACAAATAGTGCATAAAGTACTGGTTAGGAAGTTTCTCATTCAAAGACAAATGATTCTAAAGAAACTAAATATGTAATTATTTATTGGGAAATGATAGGAATAACCCAGTAAACACGGGTTTTATTTACCAGAAGAAGTAAAAGAAACCAGCCCTTGAAAGATGTTATTGTAATAAGATAATAATGTCTTGCTCTCACACTTTCAGTGGAGATGACTAAACTGTATTGCCTTTCACAAAATTAAATACCCCATTCAAATAACAATCTGAGACTTTTGATCCAACACACTATTAATTTCTTATGAGTTCAACTATTAGTTTGACTTATATATGTACATGTGCAAATATACCAAGCCAAAAAACCAAACTCACTGCCATGAAGTCGGATCCGACTCATAGTGACCCCTCCTTGGGTTTCTGAGGTAGTATCACTACAGAAGCAGATTGCCCAACCTTCCTTCTGAGGAGTGGCTAGTGGGTTTGAACCGCCAGTCCTCTGGTTAGCAGTCAAGTGCCTTAGGCACTATGCCACCAGAGCTCCCATGCAAATACACAATGAGCTTTTAACAGTGATTCATTTACATGAACTGCTATTTTGGGTCTTTAGGGCTGCTATAACAGACATACCAAAAGTAGATGGCTTTAACAAACAGAGATTTATTATCTTACAGTTTAGGAGGCTGGAAGTCCGAGTTCAAAGCTCTAGGGGCTGGGTGAAGGCCCCTGAACCTTGGGCTTTAGCTCTGCCTCCTGTTCCAGGCCCAGTAGATCTGAACGCTTTTTGTGACTTATGCAGCTGCTTGCTTCTGAGGCTGATGAACCCACGATCAACATGTAAAATGACACAGTCCCAAGATCAGCAGGCAAACATGACAGACCACTGATTCAAGTCCAGGAACAATCCCAAGATCGGCAGGCAACATGGCAGACCACTGAGATGAAGACTTGGCCAAACACAGGATCCAAATATACCAAAAAGCTAGAGACCTTTCCCAAAGGCAGCTCCCTAGCTGATTCCACCATGATGGTGATTACAGTCTCATCATGGGGAACAACGGTATCCAGTTGCCCAACCATTCAAAACCATTTTTGTTGTTGTTGTTATGTGCCATGGAGTCATCTCTGACTCATAGCAACCCTACACACAGCAGAATGAAACACTGCCTAGTCCAGCCTCAGCATCCTTGCTATACCTGAGCCCATCATTGCAGTCACTGTGTCAGTCCATCTCCTTGAGGCCCTTCCCCTTTTTCATTAACCCTCCACTTTACCAAGAATGATATCCTGCTCCAGATAATGGTTCCTTCTGACAACATGACCAAAGTTGTTGTTGTTGTTGTTGTTATGTGCCGTCGAGTCAGCCCTGACTCATAGCGACCCTTCCTTG